TGAGGTAGGCGGGGCCGAGAGAGCTCTGACAGAAACTGCTCTTTTTCAAGAAGAGCTGTGTCAGAACTACGGCTTGCCCAAGGTCATCCAGTAGGTGCAAGTGGAGGCGTGGGGAATCAAACCTGGTTCTCCCAGATTAGAGGCTGCACACTGTAGTAGAGATGAGGCTATATAGATTTATAGGTTTATTAGGGATCCAATGTATCATTTGAATATAATGAAGGCCTAGTATATAGAAGGCCTCTCTTCTTTGTGGGTCAAGGGGGATTTTTCCTAGTTGCTGTTAACAGACAAGACACAGGAGACATTCTTCTAGCACAAAAGTAGATATCAGGTTCATGGTTCTAATTGTTTACTGCTATAACTGCATAGTGTCTGGGTCACAATGAATCTTTCCCTGGCTATCAGAGAATAACACTTTTGTTTGGGTGAGAACAAGCCTTGGCCGATATGGCTTAGGTTATGTCAAGTAAATACGTGACGCTATTGCATAGGCACACCTTTCTTTCCTTTGACCAATAAGGCAATTTTGATGTAAATGTTGTTTAAGTTTCTGTAACCAATTATGCCTTTTGTATATTATTCTCATGATGATGATGTGCTGATGTCATTTTAAGTATTTAACTTCATGTATTTCCTGGTTGGGCTCAGAAAGCAGTCAGTTTGAATGGGTCTTTTGGCCTAACTGTTTTCCGTATTTCATTGCAATAAAATACAAGAACTTCCTCTTCATTTTGACTTCATTTTGACTGGATCTTAATTTATACTACACACTTAACCACTATACCAAACTGGCTCCAGGTTTGCTATATGCAGAGGCAGGCAATGGCAAACCACCTCTGAAGGTCTCTTGCTTTGAAAACCCGACAGGCCACCATAAATTGACTGCAACTTGCCAGCGCTGTCCAGCACCAGCACCAAGAGACAACTCTCCTTTCCCACATTTTACAGCAATGTGAAAGAACTGAATTAGAACTCATCAAGAAATTAAACATGACCTGTAATCCCGGTTTAAACAGAGACCTGGGTTTCCTTACTCACTAGAATGTCTAACACTTCTACAGGACCGACGTTCTAGAAACTTTAATTGGCTGTCCCTACCAAGTTTGATCATACTATAACCTTGTATTGATATCAGTTAATTCCCTGAAACTTCAGAAAGCTTCTTCCTCATCAGTTGTATAGATCCTATTTCATTATGCCATTTACTTGTACCCCAAGAGAGGCTCACCTCTGACCTTGCATCACCTGTTATGCATAAGAACTAATCCTGTTCATGTTCCTTACACAGAGAATTAGACCTGAAAGATTTACGACGAGATTCACACCAAGTCACAGCAGACGGGGGAAACAGCAGCTGTGAACAGGTGAATATTTAGAATACTGAAGACATTTCCTAGAAAATGTTTTGGCCCCCCTGAAAGCTCTATTTTCAGCCTGAGGGGCCGTGGAGCACGCAGAAGGTCCCAGGTTCAATCCCTGGCATCTCCAGTTAAAAGGATGAGGTAGGAGGTGATGTGAAAGATCTCTAATGGAGGCCCCAGAGAGCTCAGTAGTTAATACTTGACCTTGATGGACAAATGGTTTGATTCAAAATAAGGTCACTTCATATGTCCACAAGGAACTGTGACCCATGACATATTTGTATACAGGGCTTTTTTTGTAGAAAAAGCCCAGCAGGAACTCATTAGCATAATAGGCCACATCCAACAGCTGAAACTCATTAGCCTATCAGGCCACACCCTGACACCACAGCTCATTAGCATATTAGCCCCGTGTTGCCAGAAGTGTGGTCATCCAGCCACACCCACCTTTTGCTTCTTATTCTGTTTACCTTGTTTGTTGTCAAAACCCAGGGCTTTTTTTTTGTAGCAGGAACTCCTTTGCATGTTAGGCCACACACCCCTCATGTAGCCAGTCCTAATGAGTGTCTGCTGTTGGGTGTGGCCTATTATGCTAATGAGTTCCTGCTGGGCGTGGCCAACTCAGGAGCCAGCCGGAACTCCGTTCCTGTGCGTTCCTGCCCAAAATTAGCCCTGTTTGTATACAAGGCCCATCTACACAGAGAGGGAGCAGTTGGAGTCATTTGCCAATTTCCCAAGGTGCCATTTGTTGTAATATGGTGCCTCCCACAGAGAAAGCTCTGTGACATGGGCAAACCATCTACATCCATCCCTTGATTCGGAAAGGGGAGTATCAGGAAACATGCTCTATTTCCAATCGAGATCTTTTCATAAGAGGTAGTGACAGATTGCAGTAAAAAAAACACAACCCATCTCTTGGGAATTTGTATATATAATGTACCATATACATTATTAAAAACTTCCACTCTGTTGCCAGGAGGCTGTTTGCTTGCTTGTCAGCTCCGCTCTGTTTAAAGTATTGAACGAGTCTTGATTTATTTATAACGAGAAAATAAAGATTTACAAAGCACTTGGGTCTGATTGTCAAATAGCGATGTTTGACAACAAGCCGGCAAGCGCAAATTAAAGCTCCTTAAGACAGTCTCTTTGAAACAATGAGTTCCCCTGCCAGAATCGTTGAAGAGGTAGGAGACTCACGGTCTGCAAGGAGGGAGGGGCTGTGGCTCGGAGGTAGAACATCCGCTTGGCATGCAGAAGGTCCCAGGTTCAATCCCCAGCATCTCCAGTTTCGAAGAACGAGGTTCAGGAAAAAGAGCCGTTTCTGTCAAGAGCTCTCTCAGCCCCGCCTGCCTCACAGGGTGTCTGTTGTGGGGAGGGGAAGGGAAAGGAGTTTGTAAGCTGCTTTGAAACTCCTTTGGATAGTGAAGGGTGGGGGTATAAACCCAATCTCTTCTTCTTCATCACCTCTTCCTTACAGGCCCTGCAGAATCGCATCAGATCCTACAGCGCCCTGATGTTTTTCGGCAGAGAGTTCTCTCACCATCCTGGTTGCCCTCTTCTGGACACGCTCGAGCTTGTCAACATCCTTCCTAAAATGTGGTGCCCCAAACTGGACACAGGACACCAGGTGGGGCCTGACCATAGCAGAATATAGCGAAACTACCACCTCCCTTGGTCTGGACACAATGCTTCTGTTAATGCATCCTAAGATTGCGTTAGCTTTCTTCACAGCCACATCGCACTGCAGGCTCATGTTTAGCTTGTGATCAACCAGAACACCCAGATCCCTTTCACACATGCTGCTGTCAAGCTAAATCCCTCCCATTCTGTATATGTGCCTTTGATTTTTTGTACCTAAGTGTAGGACTTTGCATTTATCTCTATTGAAATTCATTTTATTTGTCTCAGCCCACTGTTCCAGCCTATCTAGATCGTTTTGAGTCCTGACTCTTGTCTTCTTCAAAATTAGCAATCCCACCTAACTTCGTGTCATCTGCAAATTTGATAAGCATCCCCTCTAAGTCTTCCTCCAGGTCATTTATAAAAACATTGAACAACACCGGGCCTAGGACCAAGCCCTGCAACATTCCACTCGAGACTTCCCTCCACGTAGACGCAGAGCTATTTACGAGCTCTCGTTGGATATGATTTTTCAACCAACTATGAATCCATCCAATGGTTGCACCATCCAGCCCACACTTAACCAGCTTATCCTCAAGGATATCATGAGAAACTTTGTCGAATGCTTTACTAAAATCTAGATACACTATGTCCACAGCATTGCCGGAGTCAACCACTTTGGTAACTCAGTCAAAAAAGGAGATAAGGTTGGTCTGGCATGACTTATTCTTGATAAACCCATGCTGGCTCCTACCAATTAACTTCAAGGTGCTCACGGACAGAGCGTTTAATAATTTGCTCTAGCATTTTCGCAGGTATTGATGTCAAACTGACAGGCCTGTAATTTCCCGGGTCTGTCTTTTTCCCCTTCTTTAAGGTAGGGACAACATTTGCTCTTTTCCAGTCTTCCGGCACAACACCAGTACTCCAGGACATCTCAGAGATTAGAGCCAGAGGCTCTGAAATAACATCTGCAATTTCTTTTAGCACCCTGGGATGCAAACCATCCGGCCCTGGAGATTTGAAAGTATTTAAGGCAGCTAGATGCTCTCTGTGGCGCTGCGGTGGCTCAAGTGGTTAAGACGCTGAACTGCAGGCTGTGGAAGGTCGTGGTAGTTCAGCAGTTTGAGACCCGGGTGCCGCATGACGGAGTGAGCTCCCATCTCTAGTTCCAGCTCCTGCCAACCTAGCAGTTCAAAAGCAAGAAATTGCAAGTAGATAAATAGGTACCACTTCAGTGGGAAGGTAACAGCGTTCCATGCACCTTGGTGTTTAGTCATGCCGGCCACATGACCACGGAAACGTCTTCAGACAGCGCTGGCTCTTCGGCTTGGAAACGGAGATGAGCACCGCAACCCTAGAGTCGGACTCGACTGGCTTTCGAGCAAGGGAACCTTTACCTTTACCATTTAGATGCTCTCTAACCATTTCCTTACTGACTCTGGACTGGCAATTTCTCCTTCCTTCATATTCCAAGGTGTCGATTGGATTCAATGGTGAGGACCGCTGTCTCGCAGCAGGGGTGACTCCTCCTACCCGTCACATACAGGATGGGGCCGCTAGCTCATGCTGCTGATGCCTGCCACCTGCCTGTCCACCTCCCACGGTGCCATCTTGTATGAGACAAGTCTCGCCCCACTCGGGACTGGGGTTCTCCCAGGGCATCAGCCCACTGGGGCTTTTTCTGGTGGCTGTAATCCAGAATCCAGGAGCACCCTACAGACCAACAAGAGTTTTGGGGGTATCCGCTTCTGAAAGTCAAAGCTCACTTTGTCAGATCTGATGGAAGGAAACATTGACCCTCAAAACTCTTCTGACATTCTGTTAAGAATGACGGCTGCCCATGGGAGCGGTGGCGCAGGCAGTAAGAACGCCTGCAAGTAACATCAACGAACAGCCATTATGGCTGTCTGAGACCCACCGCGGTCAGGGTGAGCTCCTGGCCCTAGTCCCAGCTCCCACCCACCCAGCGGTTCGAAAGTATTAAAATGACAAGTAGATCAATCGGGTACTTGCCCCTAGGTGGCGGGGGGCACCCTCCTCCTTGGGAGGTAAGGGCATCAGCGGCGGCGGCGACAGTGACGACGGCGGAGCAGTTCCTGGTGTTCCAGTGGAGCAACGTCGAAGGCGGAGGCTTGGAGAGCGCGACGTCGGAGGCGGAGCCCGGAGAGGCGGAGGCTCGGAGAGCACGGTGACATGTGGCGTGGTGTGGCAGGAGCCGTTAAGGACATTAGCCATAGCTGCAGCAAACACGGGGACCAGAAGGACGCCGACACCCGAAGCTGCTGGAGGAAGCCGGATACCAACAAGCCCTGGGTGCTGGTAGGCAGACACTACCCTATAGACAAATGTGGTCCTAGTTAGGTGAATTGGAATTTGGAAACCATATGTAAACCGCTCAGAGACCTTTCAAGGATTAGAGCGGTATATAAGTTAAATGTATAAACAAATAAATAAATAATAGGATATGGGGTATTCGTATGCACCCCCCCCCACTGCCCTGGCCAATTAGGCACACTCCCGCGCATGGGAGAAAAGACTCCGGCCGTTTTGCGCTGAAGCTGGGAACCAAACTCTCTCCCACGGTTCCCGAGAAACCCAGACATCAACATCACCACCTGCAGAACTTGTAGATAAGTGTGACAGCAGCAAAGAAGCACTGAAGGAATGCATTGGCGATTAGAACACCGCTGACCTCCCCACCCCCATGGCAGCATAGCTGACACTTCTGCCTTGAAACTCTTTTGGGTCTCTCAGGTTCTCCTGGACTCGAATTGCTGTCTTCTGCTGCAGACCAACACAGCTACCCACCTGAAACTATTTTTATTGGTGTCACGGTAGAGCCAGGGAGTCAGGCTGGGAAGGTGGTTCACAAGACAAGTCTGAGGGTCAGCCGGGAGAGCAGTCAGCAGAGCGTTAAACAAGTCCCAAAACACCAGGCACAGCCGTAGTCAAACGTTACCAGAGGTCAGAGTCCAGATAGCAAAGCCGAGAGCATCGTCAGATTCAAAGCTGGGAGTCAGGAGCCAAAGCAGAAGTCCACAAACACAAGCCGAGTCCAAAAAGCCACAGAGTCAAACAGGAATCAAGGTGCAGAGCTTTTGGTTCTACAAACAAGGTTGCCAGCACAAAGTGCTCATGGCCAGAGGCCCTACTAAATAGTGCTCTGGCTCATTAACTCATTAGCACCTTTGTGCGAGGTCCTGGCTGCTGTTAAAACTCAGGGCTCAAGGATCTCTGCCCTCTTGAACGTGCTTCTTTTCGTTGGCTAGCCAGATCCTGATGTCTCCTATCCCTAAACCGGCTTACAGGTGGGGGAGATGCCGGTGGTAAGCTGCTTACCACCAATCAATCCCAGGTGCAATCCGTCCTGTAGTTGGCTCAGATTGCTGTGTATCCTCCTCCGTACTTACAGCAGGTGCAGATCCTGATGCTTCTTCAGCTCTTAAAGGCACAGAATCCTTCCCTCTTAGGCTGTCAGGAGCTGGATCTGTGGCTGAGTCAAGGGCAGGCAATGCAATTGGGAAGGAAGAGCCTCCATGTGTTTTATATTTTCCGATACAAATGCTGTTTTGGTATGCGGAAAGGCGGTTCTTTTGCTACTATTTTCATAGCTGGCTTTCTTGCAGGCTTTGCATAGTTGCATGAAATATGGCTGCCAGCCAAACACGCCTTCACCCTTTTCCGTCACTTTCAAGTTTCTCTCCAATAGGGCTTGCCTTATCATTGGGCCCATGCTTCATGCACCGGACGATGTGGAATATACACCAGCCTGTTTCTCTTGGGCTCGAAAGCCAGTCGAATCCGACTCTAGGGTTGAGGTGCTCATCTCCGTTTCAAAGCCGAAGAGCCAGCGCTGTCCGAAGACATTTCCGTGGTCATGTGGCCGGCATGACTAAACACCAAGGAGCACGGAACGCTGTTACCTTCCCACCGAAGCGGTACCTATTTATCTACTTGCAATTTCTTGCTTTCGAACGGCTAGGCTGGCAGGAGCTGGAACTAGAGATGGGAGCTTATTGCACACCTAAATGGTACTGTACTTGCATGCACACACTGAAGGATGAGCGATAGGGTTGCCAGCTCCAGATTGGGAATTCCTGGAGATTTGGGGGTGGAGCCTGGGGAGGGCGGGGTTTGAGGAGGGGAGGGACCTCAGCAGGGTGTAAGGCCGCCGAGTCCACCTTCCAAAGCAGCCGTTTCCTTTAGGGGAATCGATCTCTGCTGCCTGGAGATCAGTTGTAATTCTGGGAGACCTTTAGACCCCACCTGGGACTTGGCAACCCAAGTGCCTGAGCACAGTTCATATGCTTGTAGGATACCTTCCTGATTATTCCTACCACACCCTCACTGCCAGTAGGAGAATGCTGATGCGCACCACACATGTCTGACCACTATATATCTGCCAAGCTGGGAATAGTCACTCCAAACTTGCTGTTCTTTAAGGTTGTCCTCAATGTTCCCTCTAAGCTGTGGAGTCTTGTGAGCAAAAATTCTACTTTGTGAGTGACTGGCATTAAAGTTGTGAGCGAGCAATTTGGCTACTGCATGAATTGGTTTGCTCTGGAGCCCTCCTTCCTGAGTGAAGACAAAAATTTGTGAGCCGGAGGCTAAAAAATTCTGAGCTAGCTCACACTAACTCAGCTTAGAGGGAACACTGGTTGTCCTTCCCGGTCATTGTGCATGACCTTTCCCTCGCACATCTGGCATTGCTTTTATCCTCCTCCTCTTCCATATGATATTCACAGAAGGATGAGAACTAACTGTAATTCATTTTTATTTGTACCCCACATGTCCCCGTTATTATTATGTTTGGGCTACCTGTATATAGGGAGTTCAATTCTAAAAATGAAGAAATATGGAGCTGCGGTGGCTCAAGTGGTTAATAGCTGAACTGCAGGCTGTGGAAGGTCGGTAGTTCAGCAGTTCGAGACCCGGGTGCCGCATGATGGAGTGAGCTCCCGTCTCTAGTTCCAGCTCCTGCCAACCTAGCAGTTCGAAAGCAAGAAACTGCAAGTAGATAAATAGGTACCACTTCGGTGGGAAGGTAACAGCGTTCTGTGCGCCTTGGTGTTTGGTCATGCTGGCCACATGACGACGGAAACGTCTTCGGACAGCGCTGGCTCTTCGGCTTTGAAACGGAGATGAGCACCGCAACCCTAGAGTCGGATTTGACTGGCTTTCGAGCAAGGGAACCTTTACCTTTACCTATATCTGTGCTTAGAATTCATGCATTAAAGCTGTCCCTTCTCAGTGGATTCTTACTGTAGTTGTTACTAGTCGGGCCCCTCTTCCTGCTGAGGGGCAGTTTATAGCTTATAGAAGCAGAAACACCTCTATAACATCACCCCAGTTTCTTAGAGCAGGGCACTGCTTGGGCCAAAAATGGACTCAGATGGATACCAGCCAGGCATTAGCTTGGGAAAAACAATTTTAAAATGTTTGTCAAGAGCGGCTGGCTGGCTACTACCCCCTCCTTGTCCCGGAGAGACACATGGGTTTAGAACAATGGGTCGCCCAGGACCTATTGATTCACTCAGCACAATCCCATCTCAACACCCCAGCCTCACTTCCCCTCTCCCATTACCCCTTGATTAAGTGGCAATTAATCAACACTCAAATCTTTTTGTTTTCCCAATTGCACTTCCTGTACAGTACTTGTGGAGCCATCAAGCTTTTATACTTTTTTTTGTTTTCCTCCAAGAAAACCATTCTGGCAAGCACGTCATCCCTGCCTCAGGATACGTTTTGCCCTATAAATATGTCACCCAACTGACCCAGTTGTGTGTGTGTGTGTGTGTTATGCGACCACAGACACCCCTACTTTGTGGGGTTTTTCCCCCTCTCCTTCATGGAACAAAACACTGGCTGTTTTCATTCTAGATCTGCTGCTACCATGGACCTCTTCAGTATTGGTAATTATCACCCTTCCCTAAAAATTCCCCTTTCCTCCCTGCCTTCCTTCATTATCTCTTGTATATGTTTTGTTGTGTGCATTTTGTTTTATCCCTTTTCTTTTAAATAAAAACCTTTCTTGTTGAACATCTGCCTGTTTATTTGAGAGTTCTCTAAAATGGGGGAAATCCTGGTATACATAGGTAGAAAATCCCAGTTACCTGCCTCTTGCTCTGTCTCCTTTCGCTAATTCCTCCAATGTGTGGAGACTGCCTTCTTTGGGTAACATAATGGGGGGGAAACATGGGCATTTTGCACAAGCCTGTTCGACATTTGAAATGAATTTAAAACACCAGAGAAATTCAAATGATGCATTTATTGATCACATATTTATCCAACCTTCCCTTCCAAGAAGCCAGTATCAGCATACACGAAGGCCCCTTTATCCTCACATCAACCCTGTTGGATTGGTGAGGCTGAGAATCATCCAGTGAGCCTTGTTACAGAGTGGAGATTAAAACTAGGCCTTCTTGGTGCCAAGAAAAACCCTCTCACTACACCCCGCTACTGTGACACTCAACACAGATGAGTTAAACAAAAGAAAATTCACAGGTAATCAAGAGCTGCTCCTCACAAGATGTGGTCCTCCACTTGCCATCATCATCATCAATTTTCACACAGGACTCAGCGCCTTTAGCACTGCTCGGCTCCCCGGGTGCCCAGTTTGAGTACCCGGCAGAAACGTGGCTCAGGTAAGCCTCTTTGTTGTGCCTCTGCAGCGTTTTCATCAGGGCATTATTCTCGGCCTCATTTGCAGGAGAAGGTATAAAGCCTTTTGCTTGGGCGCAGGTGCTGTTTGCGGTATCAAAGTTGCCTTCGTGTCCGTTGGTCACAAATAAACTTTCACTGCCACTTCCAAAAGAGCGGGCTGGGAACACAGAACACGAGCGTTATCATTTGGAGATCTCATGAAGTATTTGCTAAGTTTTAAAGACATGAGTTCTGATCACCAGAAGAGGTTATGACAAGGGATGATGAGACTTGTGATCACCCAAAGGGACCCCCCCCCCCCCAGGATATTCAATAAAAAGTATGGGAAAGTTAGTAATATAACTATATGGAGACAGACAAGGAAGACAGACTGTGACGTTTTAATAAAGGTTTCCCTTCCTTGAAAGCCAGTCAAATCTAACTCCAGGGGGTGGTGCTCTTCTCTGTTTCCAAGCTGAAGAGCCAGCACCATCCGAAGACATCTCCGTGGTCATGTGGCCAGCATGACTAGACGCTAAGGCGCATGGAACACTGTTACCTTCCCACCAAAGTGGTATGTATTTATCTACAGGGGAGTGGTGGCACAGTGGGTATATCCCACTGTCTTAACATATGAACTGTGTTAGTTCAAGCCCCGCGCTGGTGTGAGCAGCCAGCCTGTTGTCCTCAGCTCATCGTCCACCCAGCGATTTGAAAGCTTCGACGAGTAGATAAAATGGGAACCACTCCTTAGCGACGGTCGGACGCCTGGTCAAGGCTTGTAAAAGGCAAAACAGCTTCCCGGCTACGAAAAAGAATGCCTGCAATGGATGTTCCGGCCAGGCGGTGGCAGTGTGGCGATTGACATACGGGTCCTGAGGCCTGGCCAGCAAGTAGCCGTGCGGGAAAATGACGGAGCCAGCCAGAAGACGTCTACACCAGGCAGTGACGGCGCGTGCAATTAAAAAGTCAATATATGTTGTCTTCCCTATCCCCTACGAACATTTTAGTCCCTTTTCTATATATGGAGTAACTACATCACTTTGAGCCCACTGGGGAAAGCAATTAATAAATGGAAAGTATTATTATTATTATTATTATTACTCGCAATTTCTTGCTTTTGAACTGCTAGGATGGCAGGAGCTGGGGCCAGAGATGGGAGTTCACTCTGTCACGCGGCACTCAGGTCTCAAACCACCGAGCTACCAACCTTCCGCTCTGCAGCTCAGCGTCTTAACCACTGAGCCACCGGATTTGTAATTACCACTCATTTAATCTGACATTTTTAGCTCAAAAACGAGCTTTGACAATGACAAGTTTCATGTAGGAAATATCAATCTATTTAATTCTGAGCAAAACCCATAGAGTACAGATCAAACAATCCGCACGGCAGGGCCATGTTCAGATAAGGGGGATTTTTCCTATAAGCCTGGGACAGCCTCCTGGTTTACACACAAACCCAAAGAACTAAAAGAATAGGTGAGAGGAGCTTAAAATCCTCCAAACAAGCAGACTACTGCCCGAGATCTTGTGAACTATTGCGAGATCCTGGAGGGCATTCAGGGGTTGCCTAGAAACCCCAAGACTGAAGGCTTTCTTCCTGCAAAGGCACAGAAAGCCGTGGCCAGAAGGAAGTGAAAGCCATAAAAGGGGGTGGAAGTCAGAGAAGAGAGCCAGAAAAGGGAGATCTAAAGTGGCAAGGGGCCAACGTCCAGGTGGTGGCTGGAGATCTCCTGGGATTACAACTCATCTCTAGACTACAGAGATCAGTTCATCTGGGGGAAATGGCTGCTTTGGAAGGTGAACTCTATGACATTGTACCCCTTCGAAGCCCCTCCCCTCCTCAAACCCTGCCCTCCAGGCTCCACCCCCAAAATCTCCAGGTATTTTCCAGCCTGTACACCCTAGTTGATACTGATCAGACCTCTGTTTGAGAGGGATGGACTGGTGATGGGAGGAACCTAATTGGCTCATGGGTAATATTTCAGTTCCCCCTCCATTCTCTTTCCTTGGTGCTTTAAGTGACCCCCAGTGAAACCGTCATAAGAAAATTAACCCCCTGCAGCAGGAGTGGAGAATGTGAGAAGTCCTGTGTTCAGTGCTTGCCTTGTGGCAAATTTACAGCAATTGCAAAACTGAAAACCAGCGGGGACAGATGGCCTTCTGCTTCAGCCAGCTTGCCACTGTGATCTGAAGACTCGTTTGGTGGGCTGGGTTCCAAATCAAGCTGGGCATACACATGTTTGTTTTCTTTGCACAATCTCAGTTTTGGCTTGGATCTTGTCCATTGGGTTTCCAGCGATTTCTCAACCCACAGGTGGCAACCCTCTTCCAGGAACAAACACCGGACTTCCAGCCCACTTACCGTGGTGGACGGTATAAAAGGCAGTTTCGAGGCTTTTCATCTGTTTAGTCAAATAATCTTGCCGTTCGATCAAGCTCTGCAGCTCTGAAAGGGAAAACCAAATCAATTTCACTGGGCTACATAAAGCAGACAGTACAATTCTCCGAATTGGTTGCAACATGGGCAAGAACAGACAATGCGTCCTTTCTTTCAGTGGAATTCTTTGTGTCCATAGAAATCTCAACAGAACATTCTGCCTGCATGATGTTCAACTCTTTGTAGCGCTTACGATTTATTTCTGGAATCGAGCCCATTCTTCTCTTCACGGCCCTGCAGGCTTTATTTATGTCTGCCCACATATAACATTATGAAGACATTTTATACCAAGTCAGATGACTGTGCCATCTAGCATTGTATTATCTATCCTGCCCGGCAGAAACTCTCCTAGGTCATAGGCGACCCTACAGGTGTGATGAATACAACCAAGAAAAGGGGGGAGAAAATCACAACCCTGCACAAGAAAGGTAACCAGAAAAGTTGGCGCAAAGAAAAAAACAACAACTATATGCACATAGTGCAAATGTACAAAGTATCGTATATAATTTAATAATACATTCAGAAGTGCTAAAATATCATTTAAAAACAACGATCCTATGGGTCAGCATATAAGTAAGGTAAAGGTAAAGGTTTCCCTTGCTTGAAAGCCAGTCGAATCCGACTCTAGGGATGCAGTGCTCATCTCCGTTTCCAAGCTAAAGAGCCAGCGCTGTCTAGAGATGTTTCCGTGGTCATGCTGCCAGCATGACTAGATGCCGAGGAGCACGGAATGCTGTTACCTACCCACCGAAGTGGTACCTATTTATCTACTTTCAATTTCTTGCTTTCGAGCTGCTAGGTTGGCAGGAGCTGAGACCAGAGATGGGAGCTCACTCCATCATGCGACACTCGGGTCTCGAATGGCTGAACTACAGACCTTCTGGTCTGCAGTTTAGCATCTTAACCACTTGAGCATATAAGTACCTAGTCCCAATATAAAGACAAATGTCCATTTACATAAATAAAACCTTAAAAGTACACATTGTCTCCATATGCATTTGACTTTATATTGGGATTAGGTATTTACAAGGGGCGGGACCCGCGATACTTGCGGGAGGGGGGGAGGGAGCTCCACACCTATGAGGAAGAGGAGGAAGCAGGAGGAGGAGGTAAGTTCCCCCCCATCCCGCCAGTTCCCCCCGTCTGGAAGTGAGGGCCGGCGGTAGCTGCCCGGGCCTCGCTGGTCTCTCCCTCCTCTGAAGCGAGGCCCGGTGGCTTGCAGCCACCCGGGCCTCACTGGTCTCTTGCCCCCCCGGCTCCGAAGCGGCGGCGGCTGCGAGGCCGGGTGCAGAGCATTCCCTGCGCATGCGCAGGGGACGCTCTGTCACTTTTGGGGGATTTAAGTATCCCCCCGATATTTTTTACAGGTTTCAGATTTTTGTGCACACCTGGGGACTGCCCCAAGTGTGCACAAACATCTCCCTCCCCCCCAGGTGCCCCTGATGTGCGGAAATAAGTATCCGCACGCAGGGGGCGACTTCGGTATTAGATATATAGATATGCTGTCACACCCTGTCTCGCCGTGAGGGGTTGGCCCCCTGCTGGCCGTTGCTGGAGTTGCACCTCCACTAGCCTGGAGAACGGTCCGCAGGCAATCTTCGTCCCTGGAAAGGGGAGGCAGTCGAGGAGAGTTCTCTGGGCAAAGCGGGAGGAGCAGCCTCAGATGACAGGGTAGTCAGAGTTCACCAACTGCCACTCTTGCCTGTCCTGGGTACCTGGCCTCTGCACCAACTCGTCGGTGGCTACGGGGTCCCCTTCTCTCTGTCCAGCCTGCACGTCCTCAGCCAGCCCAGTCCTCCTCCTCGGCTGTCTCCCGGCTTCGCCTTTTATTACCCCCTCGAGCCCCGTGACTCCCCCTGTATCTGGGTCCCTCCCTCCTTCAAAGGGAACCACGCCGGGGCACTTCCGCTTGCCTCCCCCCGGTCTGACAACCAGAAGGGGTCTTATCCAAAAATAGGTTTGGCACGTTACTAGCTGTTTCTCATTTCAAGCAGAGATCTTTCCCAGCATGGCTCTCTGAGTTCCCTTTTAAAAGGCCGTGCCAGGAATTGGATTTGGAACTGCTTTGCCACGGGAACTTAACAGCCCGTCTTCAGGTTCAAACATCAACCTACCTGCATGGCAACATTCTTCTTTCTGCTGCTGCTGCGGAACGGCCAGAGATGTTCCAAGAACGAGAGCACAGAATGCTAGGAACAGAAGCATCTTTCAGGTGGTCCGACCTATTTTTTTTTTTAATAAAAGGACATTGTTCAGTTAATCTGTTCGTGGCTAGCGAGGGTCCCAGATCTGAGCCAATGTTTTGAAGGTGGCTCTTGACAACCTTCTCCAGTTTTGCCTGATTCCTGCCATGTGTTTTTCATTCGCCTCCAACTCTACATTTCACTTGCTATGGACTTTTATTCTCCCGCCCCACAAACAAAACAAAATGCCCCAAGACGATTGTTAAAGGATTTGTTTTGTGTTAGGGAGGGTTCCATTGCTTCCATGACTGGGGTTGCTTTGAGGAGCTGCATTTTGGGTCTCTGGACAGTTAGGGGACTGTCCGGCCGACATGAAATACTCATTAGGTTCCCATGGTTTTGCTAAGTCAGCACGGATGAAATGATAGGGCTGCCAGCTCCGGGTTGAAAAATACTGGAGAAAAGAAGAGGTTCCATCAAAAGAAGAAACAATCTATAAATTAATGGAAACAGCGGAAATGGACAAATTAACATTACAATTACAAGACAAAAAAAGAAGAAATCTTTGAGAAGAACTGGTCAAGATTTTACAGGTGGATTAATATCTCAAAACATGTATAACATAATTATTAATATATAAGCTCCATGTGCTAAATGGTTAAAATAGTGCTGGTGTATAAAAGAAACGATTCTATCTATGTAAAATTCAAACAGTAATAACGAGTACATGTTCCATAGTTGTTGTATGTTTATTGTGTGTTAGTTTTCTCTTGTAGTCTTTCTTTTTCTTATCTAGAAAATTTAAAAAAAACTTTGATAAAAAAGGGAAATGCCTGGGAATTTTTGGGGGTGGAATCTAGGGAGGGGGGTTGGACAAATTAACATTACAATTACAAGACAGAGAAGAAGAAGAAGAAGAAGAAGAAGAAGAAGAAGAAGAAGAAGAGGAGATTGGATTTATACCCCACCCTTCACTTGGAGTCTCAGAGTGGCTTACAAACTCCTTTCCCTTCCCCTCCCCACAACAGACACCCTGTGAGGTGGGTGGGGCTGAGAGAGCTCTGACACAAACTGCTCTTTTTCAAGGACAGCTGTGCCAGAGCTTGTGACTGACCCAAGGTCACATCAGCAGGTGCAAGTGGAGGAGTGGGGAATCAAACCCGGTTCTCCCAGATTAGAGTCCGTGCACTTAACCACTACACCAAACTGGCTCTTTGAGAAGAACTGGTCAAGATTTTACAAGTGGATTGAGGAATATCTCAAAAGTTGTATAACATAATTATTAATACATAAGCTCCGTGTATTAAATGGTTAAAATAGGGCTGGTGTATGAAAGAAACGATTCCATCTATGTAAAACCCAAACAGTAATAACGAGTACGTGTTCCATATTTGTTGTATGTTTATTGTATGTTAGTTTTCTCTTGTAATCATTGTCTTTCTTTTTCCTATCTAGGAAATTAAAAAAAACTTTGATAAAAAAGGGAAATACCTTGGAATTTTGGGGGGTGGAGTATAGGGAGGGGGTTTGGACAAATTATTATTACAATTGCAAGACAGAAAAGAAGAAATCTTTGAGAACAACTGGTCAAGATTTTACAGGTGGATTGAGGAATATCTCAAAAGATGTATAACATAATTATTAATATATAAGCTCCGTGTGTGAAATGGTTAAAATAGTGCTGGTGTATGAAAGAAACGATTCCATCTATGTAAAACCCAAACAGTAATAACGAGTACGTGTTCCATATTTGTTGTATGTTTATTGTATGTTAGTTTTCTCTTGTAGTCATTGCCTTCTTTTTCTTATCTAGAAAATTAAAAAAAAACTTTGATAGAAAAGGGAAATACCTTGGAATTTTGGGGGGTGGAGTATAGGGAGGGAGGTTGGGGGGACCTCAGAAGGGTACAGTGCCACACAGTCCCAAAGCAACCATTATGGCCAGTAGGGGCGTAGCCAGAAAATTTTCGGTGGTGGGACATTGGGAAATCCGGGGTGGGGGGCAGGGGAGTGGAGGAGATAGAGAGGTCCCATCAGCAGGCATGTGAAGAAGAGAAGGTCCTTTCCTTACCTTCTGGCTGCACTCATTTGCCTCGGCTACTACAGGAGAAGGAGAGCCGGCCAGCCGGTGCGATTAATATTTGGCAAGTATGTGCTCTCTGCTCTGTTAGTGGGTGGGCGAGGCCTACCACTACGGAAGCGCAGAGCGCGTATTCCCCAAGTATTAATCGCACCAACCGGACAGCTCTCCTTCTCCTGTAGTGGCCGAGGTGAACAAGTGCGGCCGGCAGGTAAGGGCATGGGTGTGGGCAGGGGGAGTTGTGGGTTGTGGGTCCTGTGTGAGGGGGAACTGCCCCTAAGTGCCCCACTGTGGCTATGGGCCTGTTCACCGGGGGAACTGATCTCTGTAATCCGGAGATCAAGTGTAATAGCTGATCTCCAGGCCCCATCTGGAGGTTGGCATTCCTAGCTCAAAAAGCTAGGGTTGCTTTTTGAAATCAGAGGAACTTACAAATGTTTCCCCTTATCTAGATTTATTAACCGATTACTTTCTTGGTACCTCATTTGCTGATATCTTAATTTTCAGAATGATTCTATTATCGCCCTAGTATATTTTATCTGCTTTTTAGTCAACAAGAGTAATTATCCTTTTCTCTTTCTGAAAGTCACTTGTGCTCTCTGGAAAAGCATAAAATAAGAATGATAATCGTATTTTTAAATGCATATTTCTTTATCACATTTGCATTGGTCTTGGAGAGGCAGAAAGAATAGCCGTAGCCTGGGGTTGTTGGTACATGTCATACCCAAATAAATTTTGTTTTACAAACCAGGATTTAATATCTTGTGTTTGGGCCAAGGTACTTTACGTATTCAGGGGCAGCAATAAGAATATCAGAACAGCCCTGCTGGATCAGACCAGTGGTCCATCTGGTCCAGCATCCTGTCTCACACGGCGGCCAACCAGTTCCTCTGGATAGGCCTTCATAAGAACCTAAGAAGAGCCCTGTTGGATCAGACCAGTGGTCCATCGCTAGTCCAGAATCCTGTCTCACACAGCGGCCAACCAGTTCCTCTGGAGGGCCAACAACACGGCATAGAGGCCAAGGCCTTCATAAGAACCTAAGAAGAGCTCTGCTGGGTCAGACCAGTGGCCTATCTAGTCCAGCATCCTGTCTCACACAGTGGCCAACCAGTTCCTCTGGAGGGCCAACAACAGGGCAGAGAGGCCTTCCTAAGAACATCAGAAAAGCCCTGCTGGATCAGACCAATAGTCCATCTAGTCCAGCATCCTGTCTCACACAGGGGCCAAGCGGTCCCTCTAGAGGGACAACAACCGGGCAGAGAGGCTGAGGCCTTCCCCTAATAAGAACATAAGAGGAGAGCCCTGCTGGATCAGACCAGTGGTCCATCTAGTCCAGCATCCCGTCTCACACAGGGGCCAACCAGTTCCTTTGGAGGGCCAACAACAGGGCAGAGAGGCTGAGGCCTTTCCACGATGTTGCCCCCCTGGCACTGGGAATTCAGAAGCTGACTGCCTCTGAGCCATGAACCATGGTTAAAGAAAACCATGGTTAAAGAAAACGATGTTTAAATGTTAAATCTTCACAAGCCAGTCTAACTAAAAATAAGGAAGTGGCATTCCACAGAGCATTAAATGGAGTCCAGTGTGGAAGAACAACATCTACTCCTCAAAGTTTAGATACCTGCGACAAGAAGTATACATTCCATGGTGCTCATAACACCCCATCCTTCCATGTAGAAAGGAAACTTCAATTTGGATGCCTCTTAAATATTGTTAAGTTTTCTGACGGCAAAGAAGAAAGTAGAAAAGGCAGATCATCATTTCAGCTACTTACTCTGAAACTCGAAACTGCTGCTGTTCGTCTGGACGAGGGTCCCCAAGTCTAACTTTTGCAGTCCTCTGTTACCTTTTTATAAGGGTGTATTGCACAATATGAGGGCTGAACCCGTTGGCTGCTCAAACAAACCCTTTCCCCCTTGCAGTAAATTACAACTCTGTATCGTGAACAATTTGGCCTTTTCAGAAAGAATGGTCACAGTATGTTTAGAAATTCTGATTCATTGGGGGGGAAAACCCAGCGACACAAAAGGAAGCAAGCACGGGGAAGTGGGGAAGACAGCTCCAAAAAACGTATCTGCAGATTTCTCAACGCAATGCAATTCAGACTTGATTTCTCAGCATACAAACTGTCCAGATGAACTGAGCAAGCACCAAATTTCTCAATTGGGAGAGCAAGCCAAGGTCAACAAGGCCACACAAGCTAGGGGCCATTCAGGAAATGTGCCTTCCGTATGAGGGTTTCGGGGAAACCCTCGCTTTCAATAAGGTGTTTCACAAATCCGGGCTGGTTCGGGTAATGGTCTGGAAGAGGGTGAACAAGTCTGAGCCAGAAACAAGACAGAGGTATTGAGGGCAGAAGGCCGAATGAACCTGGCCATTTCCCCTGCTTAACTATAACATCTGAACTGGATAAATTATATGGCACTATACCTTGCTGTGCCTTTCCCTGGGCTCTGTTCCTAAACACCAAGGAATTTCCCAACTGTCCCCTGGAGATCCGCTGTAGTTCCATGAGATCTCCAGGCCCCACCTGGAAGCTGGCAACCCTAGCTCATGTAGCAAGTAGTTCTAGCCACCTCTGCCACCACCACCAGACGGAAGGCTGACTAGTTACACGGGAAAGAAGAATCGCCCACGGGCACTGCCTTCCTTCAGGGGAGGGTAATAATTCACAGGCCTGCATAAGCACTCGGTAGAGACGTTCTCATTCTCGGAACCATAAAAATATTACTCACGATTATAAAAATTAAAACGCTGATTATAAAATGATGTAGAGAAATAAAACCCGCCATTATGTATTATGAAATCTAATCAGACTGACTCATTATCACTATAAAGCAAAAAAGGAGGCTTGCCACATGATAAAGATTAGCAAATTTGTTGATCGATTCTTTCAGGATGAAGACCACCTGCTCTTGGAAACTGATGCTGGAAGGTGCCACCGATGATCGCTGCTCTGTTTTTTTGCTTCTACAAACCGCTAATCTGATAAATCAGGCTGTTACCCCCTTGGAATTTATCACTGCAGTGTTTGGATTCAATTGGAGATGTTACGTAACATGGCTTAAAGCATTTTTTCCCCATTAAAAAAGTCTAGCCGCATGAAATAGGAAGCCATTAATTTAGGGTTAATGTTTTTTCTTTTCTTTTCTGGGAACAGACACTTAAAAAAAAAAGTTCTTCTAAAATCCCCGGTAATACGAGCCATTTCTGAAACCAAAGCCCACAGGATTTCAAATCTTGTTAAGTCTTCCCTTTTCTCAACCCTTGTACCTAAATATTTGCAGCGGAGCCCATGTGTTTTTGAGAATGAGATCTGGCAAGGCTCAGCACATAGCAGGTTTCCACTCAGCATTTCATGTATGGGCTCTGTGGGATGGTGTGCAAATTGCACCCAAGGGGTTTGGCTCCAATGGGTAGGAGGGCCAGGTTTCCACAGAGGCCAAACTCAGGGAATATTTGATTGCAAAATTATAGCATCAGCATGTGTCAGTCTGCATAAGGATCAGCCAATGTTCCCCCTGGTGTGTTTCTATTCTTTATACTGGTGGGAACAAAACGTCACAGACCATTTTGTTCTCACTCGTGAACGGCTCCCTCAGTGTTAGATCGGTAGGACAGTTTCCCAATAGGACAGAAGTTCTGGGATTTGGGGTTTAAAGGGCAAAGCACTTGGTTTTCCAGCTTCCCCCACGCCACCCAAAATCTTGCTCTTAAACTCACAAAGCCCGGAAACTAGAGGGCAACTGTCCTATAGGGTTTGGGTGACTGAGCAGAGCTGTAGCAAGGGCAAGGCAAGTGAGGAGCTGAGAGGCGCAGGAAGGTAGATCAAACTAAAATAAATGTTGTGATTTCTCTGCTATCTGTGGATTTACCTTTCTACCAAAATAATCTGAAGAAGTGTGCGTGCACACAGAAGCTTATACCCAGAATCAGGGGTCATTTCCTGCAGGAGCGCACAGGAGCGGAGTTCCGGCAGTAAAGAGCACAGGGGGCGGGCACATGCAACAGGCCCCACCCCCTGATCCCAGCAGCCCCAGGTCATGATGAGCACAAGGATCTGTGCGTTCCCCCCCCCCAATAGCTAGCAATCCGAAACAGTCCAGTGGAGACTGAGCAGTGGGGGTTGCCTTCTGATACACTTCCGGTGATGTCAGGGGGTGTGGCATATGCAAATAAGTTGTGCTAATGAGTTGTGCTAATGAGCTCCTGCACCCCTTTTTCTACGAAATGACCCCTGGGTGAATCAACCCCGGTTCTCCCAGATTAGAGTCCGCGCACTTAACCACTACACCAAACTGGTGGGGACCCCAGAACTAGGATTCATTTGTTTGTGCATGGATTGGCAAAGTATAAAGAGCAAAAGAAGATCAATATTAATTAAGTTTAAATCCACATTTAGCAAGGCAGAGTGTCCCTGGCTGCTTGTTGAACTGATAAGTGCTAGAATGGAAGGGATCTAACCTGAATGCCATTGTCAATACTGGCACAAAGTTAGGGTTTCCCAGGGCTTTTTTTTGTAGAAAAAGCCCAGTAGGAACTCATTAGCATAATAGGCCACACCCAACAGCAGAAACTCATTAGCATATTAGGCCACACCCTGACCGCACAGCTCATTAGCATATTAGGCCACACCCCATGCCTTCCCTTGGCTTGCCCGGGCAAGCTGGCCCTTGGACAGGCTGGGGAAGGCACGGGGAGGTATTTAAATGCCTCCCTGATCCTTCCAGGACCCCCCTGGCCCACCCGCCTTGGAGTTGCCGGGGTGTGTGTGTCATATTTTAAGGCTATTTATATACCAGCGTGTTGCTGTAGCAAGGAATGAAAAAGAAAATATTAAGGAAAGCTTTTCTTTCTAACAGCGACGGGTAGGCTTTGGTTAGTAAATTGTGTCTCACTGTTAATAAGTTGATCGAGATGAGTAGCTGTGTTAGTCTGTCTATAGAAGTAGAAAAGAGCAAGAGTCCAGGAGCACCTGAAAGACTAACAAAATGTGTGGCAGGGGAGGAGCTTTCATGAGTCACCACTCACTTCTTCAGCTACCTTCACACAGGGGTCATTTCCTGCGGGAGCGCACAGGAGCGGAGCTCCGGCAGTAAGGAGCCCAGGGGGCGTTCACATGCAACAAGCCCCACCCCCTGCTCCCAGCAGCCCTCAGTCGGGCCACAAGGAGCAAAAAGCAGCCAGGTAAGTTGCAGAGGGCCCTCCCCCAGCCCACCTTAAGGTACAAGCTCCCCCTCCTCTGTGAGGGCAGATCTGCACGTTTCCCCTCCCCCCAATAGCTAGCAATCCAAAACAGTCCAGTGGAGCCCGAGTGGTGGGTGTTGCCTTCTGACACACTTCCGGTGCTGTCTGGGGGTGTGGCATATGCAAATAAGTTATGCTAATGAGTTATGCTAATGAGCTCCTGCACCTCTTTTTCTACGAAATGACCCCTGTCTTCACATGGTTGATGGATTTCCATTCTGTACGGCTGAATGTGGTGTCTTCCATGGAGACAGATCAAGTTAGGTAGCCACAGTTAGTCTGTCCATAGCAGCAGAAAAGAGCAAGAGTCCAGTAGCACCTGGAAGCCTTTGTATGAAAAGGTAAATCAAATCCATTAGCAGCCAGTTGCTAAAACGGTTGTGTCGGAAATGACACAAAAAACCTGTTAAGAAGTGGCTACCAAAACAGATTACAAAGGCTGTCTGAAAAGGGCCCATATCTGTCTCCACACTTCACTGTTCTACTGTGTTTATTCAGTTCCCAGAACACTCTACCACTGATCTACCCCTTAGATATTGCTACCCACCTTTCATCTGTATGTCATTTATGCTCAGAAAAGCTGATTTTTTTTTTTGGACTGCATAAAAGCTGACAGTTGCACAGAAAAGCTGTAAACAATTGTACAGTCTTTTGTACGGCAAAATTCTCTGCAGAATTCTCTGGAGCATCTGGAGGGGTTTTATTTTTGTAGTTTCGAGAGCCTTCAGATCTTCTGGAGCTGGGTATCTTTTTATTGCTACTTGCGAAATCTGAACACAACCAAGCATGCCATCAGTCTTGAGTCTGACATGTTAGAACACTGTGGAGAAAGAAGCAGAGGTCATTTTTCTTTCAAGGACACGTAATTTGAGGAAAGGTTGGGTGGAGCCACACCTACCGTGGTTCAAAAGTTCCAAGGCTGGGTTTGCCAAGCTGTTTCTGGCTCTTACCTGTTTCTGCTATATATTTTTCAATCCGTAAAGCAAATTTATGGTCCAATTTTACGCCTTTGTGCTCCATCTTTCCACATCTGCCTTACCTTTCCCATGTTCAGCTTGTCTTCTGAGAACTGATGTGGACCATTTCCTTGATCATTTTGCCTGGCTTTCTATTTACATATCTTACAGGGAGCGTTCCAAACCCATTCAGTGTGTAATATTAGCCAGCAGTGGAGCTAATCTTCATAATAAGGAAGTAGCAGAAACATCACGGGAGCTTAAACCCAGGCAAGCAGAACCTTAAAATACTGATCCCCAGCGGCACCAAACAAGAACTTATTTTTGAGTGATAGGGATACCTGTAGCTTGGAGGGTATAAAAGTATTTGGCTCTTGATGCAAATTGACTTTTCCTTCCCCTATCAATTCAGGATTCTGCCAAGGGCTGTCCTGAAGTTCTCGTACATCACTCACTCGTAATTTCAAAGCTTCAAGTTCGCAGAGGGAAGAACAATGTGATTTTGCTTTGGTTGCGTTGAGTCATGGAGGATATTCTAAATGTTCACAGATGTTCACAGAGAAATTACATTTCAAGGTGGCGTGCTAAATCATTGCATATTAATTTCTCTTAAAAAAAACAAACACCCCCCCCAAAAAAACTGTTCTGTACAGGTGGAGGAATCCCA